TTTGGATAAAAGGGTAAAACTCTACATGTGTAGTCTATATTTTTTTAAAAGTAAATCTATTAGGCTTAAGTACTACGAAAGAAACAGATAACAGGAGTGGATAGTGATCTAAATGAACTTGTGCCAAGTGATTACATATCAGCTTTGAAGCTAAATGAAGAAAAGCTTGGTTAACTAGTATTTTGTCCAACCTTTTCCAAATTTACGCCCTTCCCATTGGGTTATTGGACAAAGTGAATTTGCTTCCTGCATATCTTATATCTTAAACTCTCAGAAGTTATATACCATAACTAAAGTAAAAAATTAATCCCAAACTAGACTTTGGACCTTCAACCTTTTCAAAAAATATCAGCTATGGAGTTAAAATCCCCTCTTATAACCCAAGGATTTGTGATGTTGAGAGAATATAAACTATCCTATAAAGATCTTCTTACAAACCTGTTGCAACTTGCATATATAATGATGAAGAAAGTGACTGTATTTGTAACTGAGTCCTTTATAATAGCAACGATGGATTGTGAACATACAAACTGAATGTCTACCATTAATTTATTCTACCATAAAATCCATATATATCTATTGGATGGATTCCTATAAGCAAAACGAGGGAAGTGAAGTGATCTTGCAAGGTTAGGTAGTTTATCACCCTCTTGTTTCGGTTCTAAAAGGATTAGAAGAGAAACCTGATGGAGTCAAATTAGCCTTCTCAGATATCTCTTTCTTTCTAAGATACAAACACCGTTTAGATTCCAAATCAAACTATTCATAGGGAATGGAGAAGAATGGTTCTCCATTATGATCCTCATAGGAGCGAGTTACCCTTTTGCTACTATGCTAAACTAGATGTTGTAGGAGTTTCTTCATCTATTTCTTAATCATCGATTTGCTATATTTTTTCCCATAGTTTATTTTATCTTGGTACAGTGATTCAATTTAGTCTCGTGAGTCCAAACCTTTTTCTAAAATTGTATGAGGAGGAAGGTTAGCTTCAATGTGCTGACACACAATCCCATCATCCAAACTGCATTGCAAAATTCCATATAAAGTATTTCAGGGATTACGAGAAGTATCCACTATTTGTTGTTTCTCTACAACACCTTTCGAAACCAGATATGGAGATAAGCCAGCCTCTAAATAAGCAGGTAAGGCCTCATCATCCAAAACCTCATTATCCAGAGTACTAAAAGAAGTAAGAGAAAGCATATCCTGAGCTAATACATGACGGAAGGAGAGAGAGCTTGCTTGTTTGGGTTAGTGTTTGAAGTAGTAGATGCTACATGCTCTTGACGATGCCTAGTTAAAATCTATCCTTCCAAGGCTCTATACGTAAGAGTAGCTTGTGTAGGAGGCCCATGAGTAAGTGACTCCAATTCTAACTACATGGTATTGTTCAACCCATGTAATGCTAACACTGGTTCAGTTACTGATAAAGACTAAGCCCCTATATGAATCCCCTTTGAAGTGGATATGAATGCCATTTGTAGAGGCTGCAGAGGAGGTGTGTGTTAAAGTATGTGCCCTATTAACATCTTTCCTCAACTCACTGACACGAGTTTTATGTAAATTTTACTCCGAGTACACATAAGCATGGGATACCAATTCCTTCTACATGGCACTATTCTCCCTATGAGAAATAAACGCTGGTTCAGTAGTTAAAAATGACTAAGTCCCTAGATTATTCCCTTCCCTAGTTTGGATACTACTAGTGGTAGAGGCTTGTAATCATTTCGATAAAAATAGTAGAAAACCATATAGGGGAGGGTGGTTCCCACTAAAATCTTTTCGCATCCCCATGCCACTATACTTGTAATGATGCATGTTTAGTCTACATTATGCATGTGGATCTATCTCCCTCTGTATAGGACTATAGCCCCCAAACGAAGTAGATACGACCCCAACTTTTAATAAATTCTAAGCCCCTACAGTAACCGTTTTCTTGCTCTAGATAATGTTTATATTAGGAGGTTGTTCAGAGAAGTCTTGGGAGCAGTGAGTATTTCCCTTGCTTGGTGCTATGTCCCTCTATTTAGAAGAAGTGCGGTGTACCTTAGGTGGAGGCCTCATGGATTGGAATCTAATTACTCCCTTACCTTTTGAGGTTAGGTTGTAAGAATTCTCCCTATTTGATAGAGACTATACGTCATTGTGTGGGATTTAGATATGCAAAGGAGGTTGATATAGTGTGTCTTTCTTTATGACAAGATGCCATTCGTTCTCTAGTCATGGCCAGTGAGACTACACTGCCTTAGCAATAGGGAGGACCTACTATATCAAAAGATGCTTGTTACGAGGATGTTTATGATAATTACTTTTAAAGTGGGCCTATAATTTGTAATGGGAATAAAAGGACATGTTGGACTCCACAAGAATAGGTTGCCAGAAACCCTTGGCTCTATTAGAACCCACTAAGATCCATATTTTCGATAAGATATGAATTCCTAGATCTATTTCGACACAAACTCTTACATGCATGGGGTGAGAACTATTTCTCATTCGGTCATCTAGATGAAGTAGGTGTCCAAAAGGATGAACAATCTCTTGTCAAAAAGCATAAGAAAAGAAAGAGATGGTGAGGCTTAGAAGTCTAATCCAAACTGTTGCCATTGAAGACTCAGATTTTGTATTAAAGGTTGGATCCCATCTGAAAATCCAAAATGGATAGTTTCCAAGGAGATGAGAATCTTAGGACCATGCCTTGATGAAGTCTTCTCTATTTAATAAATGGATCAAAACATATCGAGGATCGATGAGGCTAGTAATATGAGTTTTAGCTAGCCCTCAATGCTGCTAAATATAATCGTAAATGGAGTTAATTGAGGGATGCCCCTTAGAAAATTTAACAACTAAGGAGAACTCAAAAGTTTAGTAGACTATTATAGATCTTCATCCGAGAACTCCACTACTTGGTTCTCCTTTAAAAAAGGATTTGTGTTTAGGAGTAATGGTAAATGAGGGAAAACAATGCTGGTTGTCCGCTAATGAGTAGCGATAATAGCATAGGATACTTTAGGGTTTGATGGATGTGGGATTAGTGGATGTAAGGTTGAGGGAGGATTAACGGGATTTGGGATGACCAGATTTGAAGGTTTAGGGGCAACAACATCCGTATAGGTAATAATAGGGCTAATGAAATTTTGTAGAGAAGGACCTACGATAATAAGTTGAGTGATAAATTAAATAAAATTGGTTCAAGAGCCACTAGTGACTCCATCCACATAAGTGGCAAGTAATCGGCGACTTCATTTCAAATAAATAAAAAATAGGTAAGATTATAGCAAAACCACTAGCAATTTCGTCATATAAGTAGGAAGCCATTGGCGGCTCCATATCAATAATTAAATAAAATTGGTAAGAGAGCCACCGGCAACTCCATCCATATAAGTATGAAGCTATTGGTGACTTCAATTTGAACAAATAAAAATCAAGTAAAATGATAGTAAAATCATTAACGGTTTCTTCACATAAGTGAAAAGCCACTAGCGGTTTTATCATAACAATTCAAAGTTAAATAAAATTTGGTTTAGAAGGCACTAACGACTCCATCAACATAAGTGAGAAGTAGCTGGTGACTTCATTTCAAACAAATAGAAAACGAGATAAAATGATAGTGAAATCGCTAACGACTTCTCACATAAGTGGGAAACCACTAGCAATTTCTTCACGAGTAATTAAATAAAATTGATTTAAAAGCCACTGGCAACTCCATCCATATAAGTAGGAAGCCATTGTAGACTTCATTTTGAATAAACAAAAAATTGGTAAAATGATAGCAAAATCACCGACTATTTCATCACATAAATGGAAAGCCACTAATTGCTTTATGACAATAATTCTAAATTAAATAAAATTGATTCGGGAGCCATTAACGACTCTATCCATATAAGTAAGAAGCCACTAATGGCTTTTCTTAAAAAAAAAAAAAAAAAAAGTAAAATAGCGACGAAATCACTAACAACTTCATCACATAAGTGGGAAGCCACTTATAACTTTATCACGAGTAATTCAAAATTAAATAAAATTGATTCATGAGCCATTAGCAACTTTATCTACATAAGTGAAAACCCACTAGTGACTTTATTTTAAACAAATAGATAACATATAAAATGATTTCAAAGTCGGCGGCTTCATCACATAAGTGAGAAGCTACTAGCGACTTCGTCACGACAAACAAACAAAAAATAGGTAAAATAACTCATATTAAAATTATTTAAATAGGGTAATTCATTTATAATTGAAATTACAAGAACATTCATCTCAAATAACATTTAAACCATGAATATAATAACGAAATGCTATAATTTCATTCATATTTTGAAGGAGTACAATCGTTATAAGAGTTTTACCTAAAATTTTTTATAGTTTAAATGTTCAATTTTAGGATCGGTTCTACTCTCTTCATCCTCGATGATAACCGATTACTCGATTAGTCGAGGAAGGAAAGTAGTTGCCTATTGCTAAAACGTTGTATGAATCCTATTAAAACGATCGAAAGTCTCTCCAAGGTCGATGCAAATAGCCATAGATGCTTGCTTGCCACCAAAGTTATTATAAATTTTATAATAACTTTGTAAACTTTCAACTTTTTTAAAAGTGGCAAATGTTGCTTGCAACTTGAGGGTGCTTGGTAACAACGTTGTTGCTATGTTTTCCTATTAAAAGCCAAAAATAAACGCGATCAACAATATCATATTGTTTTTGCCAAACACAATCAAACAATAATTTTTTTTTTAAATGGTTGGTTGGCCGTTGGTTTCGGGCAAGGCAAAAGGTTGTCCGGCTATTGGAGGGGCTACCTAGCTCGAAGGGGGTATTGTTGGCTTAAGGTTGACTAGCGCGAGGCTGCTAGGGGTCGGGATGTGTAAGGGATACAACTGGCTAGGCTTACGAGGTGTTGGTTTGGCATGCTATAAGGGAGGTTGCCTAGTGTTAGTGTTACTAGCTACGAAGAAGGCTATCCGGAGCCAACACTACTAGCTATAAGAGAGGCTGCTTAGCATGCGATGAGGGGCGCCGGCCTAGCATGTCGTGAGGGAGGCGACTCGGTGCTAGTGCTATTGGTCGCGAGGGAGGTTATCCGGCGCCGTGATATTATGCTTGCAAGACGCATGTGCGAGGTGACTATGGTACTAGTAGGGCATGCGTGAGGTAGCTATGGGCATGCAACCGGTTGTAAAGTGCGTGATTGGAGGTTGAGTGTGAGGAGTCGTTATCGCGCACGAGGGAGGCTATGTGCGAGGAGCCGCGGATGGGCATGAGGGAGGTTAGGCACGAGGCATTGACCAACTACTTACGGGCGTTTAAACAAGCTACTATTATGTGCGAAGGAGAGAGGGCTTTAAGCGAGGTTGGAAGTTAGCCTGTGGGGGGTTACAAAAGAGGTCGGGCAAAGAGGAGGCGAGGAAGGGTCGTTTAAGTCTGTGGGGCTTTGTGAGGGAGGTTGGGCGTGCGAATTGGGCAATGAGGAGGCGAGGAAGGGATGTTTGGGGCTGTGGGGCATTGTGAGGGAGGTCGGGCGTGTAAGGTTGGGTGAGGAGGAGGCGAGGAAGGGCTATTGTGGCGGTAAGGGTTGGTTTTGGGTGAGGGAGAGGGAGTTTGTGAGGTGTTTTTTTTTATTAATTGTTTTATTTATTTTTTTGTCGTAGAGAGTTGGTCGGGTGTAAAATCAAGGGGATCAAAAAATGCAAGAGGGGTCTTTTTATAGGTATTTTATAGTTTTTTGGAAAAATTCCAATTTAGTCCCCGTTTTTGTACAATCCATCTTTTTAGGTCCAATTTTAATTGTTTCGGTTTCGATAGGACCCTTAAATCTCAATTAATTAGAATTTTTCTTTTTAATTTTTTTCCCATTGTGCTTCTCTTTAATTTAAATAAGGGATTAAAGTTTTGAATTTTTTTAATTGAGCTCTCAATTGTCTTTTTTGTTTAAAAAAAAATTCCAAACTTGTCTATTTTTTAATTAGCCTCCTTCCTACAATTAATCTAAGCTAGTTGTTTCAATTGATTTGATTTTTTTTTATCATTTTTTTTCTATACTTGGCATTTTTTTGTTCTGTTTATCTTTTTTTTTTTTTTTTTGGTATTTTTGCAATAAAAATAAAAATGAAAATAAAAATAATAGGGACAAAAAATGGGTGGTAACAATGAGCATTTTATCTATACTTGCTATGGACCTCTTTGAGTAACCCGGAATGTATTCAAGGTGTATTAATTCAAATCGGAACTCATAATTTGGTCTCATTGACAAATCCATAGCGAGTTCTTTGAAATGGAATGTGGAGGTCGTTAGAGACTATTATAAATTATATTCTAGAGCCTCATCTATAAGCTTAAGCTTTTAGTCGAGATGATTCTTTAATATTGTATTAAGCATAAGGCAATATGGACTCGTGCAAGTTTCAAGCCCAAATGTTAGGGCTTTCATTTGAGGGTGTGTTAGAGACTATTATAAATTATCACTACAACAAAAATGTGTTTTAGCGATGGCTATTTAGCGACGGTCAACAAACCGTTGCTAAGTACATATATTAGCAACGATTTTTCACACTTTAGCGACGATCTAAAAAATGGTTACAAATATTAAAATTTGCGACGGTTTTTTAGCAACGATCTACCAATCCGTTGCTAATGTTATAGGCTAACCATTTTAGCGACGATTTCCATATTTAAAAAATCGTTGTAAGTTTAGCAACGGTCTAAACCGTTGCTAAACCGTTGGTAAATGTTATTTAATATTTTTTCAACGAGTTTTATTAAAAACAAATTCCTAAATAAAAAATAAATTTAGCAACGGTCATAGACCGTCGTTATTCCGTTACCAAAATGAAGATTAGCAACGGTTTGGTGTTGGTAAACTGTTGCCAAAATATTCTTTTTAGCGACGGTCGAGATTCGTCGCTAAAACGTCACCAAATCAACCTGGAAAAAAATATTTCGGTTTAGCGATGATCCGGGATCTGTCGCTAAACTGTTGGTAATTAATTTTTTTTAATGATTGCAAAAATAACCATCGCTAAAACGTCGTCAAATCAACCTGGAAAAAATATTTCGGTTTAGTGACGATCCGGAACGTCGCTAAACCGTTGGTAATTAATTTTTTTTAACGGTTACAAAAATAACCATTGCAAACGTTACATTAGCGATGGGCTTAGACCGTCGCTAAAACATCGCCAAATCAACCTGGAAAAATACTTCAATTTAGCGACAATCTTGGACCATCACTAAACTGTTGGTAATTTAATTTTTTTTATTTTAACGGTTGCAAAAATAATCGTTGCAAATGTTACATTAGCGACGGGTCTAGACCGTCGCTAAAACGTCACCAAATCAACCTGGAAAAAATATTTCGGTTTAGTGACGATCCGGGACCGTTGCTAAACCATTGGTAATTAATTTTTTTTAACGAGTTGCAAAAATAATCATTGCAAATGTTACATTAGCGATGGGCCTAGATCGTCTCTAAAAATGTCGCCAAATCAACCTGGAAAAATACTTCGGTTTAGCGACGGTCTTGGACCATCACTAAACCGTTGGTAATTTAATTTTTTTATTTATTTTAACGATTGCAAAAATAACCATTGCAAACGTTACATTAGGACCGTCGCTAAAACGTCGCTAAAAGTTAATCGTTGGTGGAAAACGAGTCAAATTTAATTTCGAATTTACGTTTAGCGACGGTTTAGTAACGATCGTGACCGTCGCTAAAAACTTTACCTTTCTATAAATACCGGTCGAACGAAATCTGCCCATTTTTGCTTTCTTCTCCTCTCTTCTTCTCCTCCGACAGCGATATCTCTCGCCTTTTTTTCGCCAATCCTCTCGCTCTCTCTCCTCAAAGCTATTGTTTCCTTAAAATCTCCATATTTCTTCCCTCTTTTCCTCCTCATTTCAAGTTTTCTCTCTGCAGTTGAAGTTGTCGTTTTTCGACAATCATATTCCGACAAGGTATTTTTACCGACGGTTCGTTGCCCCTCCTTCTCTTGGTGACAAGTCCACCTAAATCTAAACCATCCTTTTAATTATTAATTTTTTCAGTTATTTATTTATGTCAAATAATTAGATTTTTTTTAATTTTTTGTTTAATTACTTATTATTGCTAGTTTAATTATTGAATTGATTGTTCATTGTATGTGTTTTTTTAATTTGATTATTTAATTAAAATTTATTTTGTGTGTTATTTTAGTGTAAATTGTGATAGTTAATTGAAATGCTTAATTGTTAATTTAATATTAATTGTTAGTTGTTTTTTTAATGTTGTTGTTAATTATTGATTAATTGAATATTATTGTTAACTTTTTAATTTTGTGTTATTTTTATTTTAGTTGTTGATTGAATTAATTTAATTGTTAATTGTTAATTTACTTACTTTAATTTATTGTTAATTTTTTTAGTTAGAAAATATAATTGTTATATTTTATTTTATGTTGTTATTTAAATTGTTATTGTTATTGTTATTAGTGTAGCTACTAATTTTTAATTTACTTAAGTAATTCACAATTTATTGAAAACATTAGTAATTTAAGTAATTGCTAGTTCATTAAGTTTAAGCGTTAGGTTAGTACAAAATAAATAAAAAAATTTTGTGAAATAAATTTTAAATAGATAAAAAATAAAGTTATTAGAAATATTTGTAATTGTTAGGAATTAAATAAATAATTAAGTTGTATTAAAAACATTTTGTGAAATAAATTTTAAATAGATAAAAAATAAAATTATTAGAAATATTTGTAATTATTAGGAATTAAATAAATAATTAAGTTGTATTAAAAAACATTTTCTGAAATAAATTTTAAATAGATAAAAAATAAAATTATTAGAAATATTTGTAATTGTTAGTAATTAAATAAATAATTAAGTTTTATTTAAAAACTTTTCTGAAATAAATTTTAAATAGATAAAAAATAAAATTATTAGAAATATTTGTAATTGTTAGTAATTCAATAAATAATTAAGTTGCATTTAAACACTTTTTCTAAAATTAATTTTAAATAGATAAAAATAAAGTTATTAGAAATATTTGTAATTGTTAGGAATTAAATAAATAATTAAGTTGTATTAAAAAAAAGTTTCTGAAATAAATTTTAAATAGATAAAAAATTAAGTTATTAGAAATATTTGTAATTGTTAGTAATTAAATAAATAATTAAGTCTGTATTTAAAACATTTTGTGAAATAAATTTTAAATAGATAAAAAATAAAGTTATTAGAAATATTTGTAATTGTTAGGAATTAAATAAATTATTAAGTTGTATTAAAAAAACGTTCGAAATAAATTTTAAATAGATAAAAAATTAAGTTATTAGAAATATTTGTAATTGTTAGTAATTAAATTAATAATTAAGTTGTATTTAAAAAAATTTATGAAATAAATTTTAAATAGAGAAAAAATAAAATTATTAGAAATATTTGTAATTTTTAGTAAGTAAATAAATAATTAAGTTGTATTTAATATTTTTTTCTAAACTTAGCTTGTTTATATATTTAGAAAATAACTTGTGTGTAACAAAAAAAGATTTGAGATTTAGTAATAAAAGTAATTTAAGTAATTACATAAACAATTAATACAATTACTTTATTACTATTTTGTTTAAAATGAATTTGGATCGCTCTTGGATTGACTTTAGATTAACCGATGGATTATTAAATGAGCGTTTTGTAGAAGGGGTTAATGAATTTATTAATTTTGTGATTAGTCATCCACAAGTGCATGGATGAAAATAAGATACGATGTCCATGTAAAAAAAAAATGTCAATATCGTAGTTATGAAAACCCCGATACCGTTAAGTATCATTTGCTTAGATATGGGTTTGTGTTTGGGTATTATGTGTGGAGACGTCATGGAGAGAATGATTTAGCAATTAATGCCAATTCGTTTAATAATGTTGAACAAGAACAAATATGTGATGATCTTCAAGTTAATCGATACCACACAATGGTGATGGATACAACTGGTCCATCTTTTAATCCGTCTAACACGGACGAAGACCCAAACCTTTCGCACAAACATTTTATGATTTATTAGATGCATCGAATAGAAAAATATGGCTTGGGTCGGAAAACCATTCGCAGTTATCCGCAATGTCTCGTTTGTTGCATCTCAAGTCCGAGCATCATTTTTCGAAGAGGTGTTATGACGATTTATGTCAACTTATGAAAGAGTTGATGCCTCTTGACAACTCGTATGCTAGAAGACTTTTATAGTACAAAAAAATGATAGAAATGATGGGTTTGCCCATTGAAAAGATCCACTGTTGCATTAATGGTTGCATGATTTATTGGGGTCGGGACGACCGAGAGAATCTCTTGTGAAATATGTGATCATCCTCGATATCGAAATCCTAGGCGGGGTTCGATTAGACAAACATTTGTCCCCCATAAAAAAATATATTATTTTTCGATAACCCCATGATTACAAAGGATGTATGCATCAAATGCCACCGCTAATGACATGACATGGCATGCACAACATGTGTGGGATCCCAACGTCATGCGTCATTGTTCGGAC